GAGAGAGAGAGAGAGAGAGAGAGAGAGAGAGAGAGAGAGAGAGAGAGGGAGAGGGAGAGAGAGAGAGTTTTGGTTTTGTAATTACAAGAAGATATAAGACTTAATTTCAAATCTATCTTTTTTGAGTCTGCTCGTGGTGCCCATCAGAAGGCAGGCATGTGGAGTTGGTCTCTGTGTGTGGTAATTATGTATCAAAAGGAGTATCTAATAAACCAGAACATGCTTAAAAGCGCAAAACTATCAAAACTGATAAGAATATAAAGCTTCAAACTATGAAGAGTGATTCAAAGAAGGAAAATTGACTAAAAGGAAAATCCTCCGGACTGGGAGCGTCTTTTAAAAAGAACTTCTAGGATTAAGAATATTGATATTAGCAACTCAGCTCTAAATATAGTATCTGTATCACCTGGACTCCTTCCCTCAAACTCATTCTGAGTCCCCCTTCCCAAAGTTTCCTCTTCCTAACCTAATGTACTCTTTTAATAGCTTATGGAGTCCAGTTACTGCTGCTCATACCATCACTACTGTGACATCATCCACTGTTACTGTCAATATATGAAAGACTACACACCTAATGAAAGTTGACTCCCTCCCCAGAAACCATCAACTGTCAATAGCCCCTCTTTAGTTGGCTGGTACTTCTATGGCCTTCCCATATTCATGCTTGAATGATGAATGTCTTCATCTTGTATGAGGCAAAGTATCTTTCCATTTTATGCTGGGAGAGGGAAATTCTATTTTCCTCAGTGAAGAGATTCTGAGTATATTAATCATGATCACAGGACAGGTCCCACGCTCAGAAGCAGTTAGCTAAGACAAATAGAGTTCCATGTTTTCTAGCTGTTGTTTTCCTTTTGATTTTTGTTTTGTTCTTATTTTCAAGACAGTGGAAAAACCATGAAGATGGGTGGGTAGGAGTAGGGGCGCAGGATCTGGGAGGAGTTGGGGGATAGGGAAGAATATAATAAAAATATATTGTATGAAGTTCTTGAGAATAGATTAAATACTTTAAAAAAATCTTTCCACCCACCTTTTCATATTTTTTGAGCCTGGGAAAGAGAGGTGTGATATTTATGCCCCAGTTATAGCAGAAAACTCCACACAAACTTGTTCTCTGTATTTGGTTGGAAGTCTCTATGTCAACTGAACAAAAATGCTTCTTCTATAAGGACTGAGAAGTGCACTAATTATGAATATAGATATGCATTTTAAAAAGCAATATTGTACTATGTCCACTAGGTTTACTCCTAGGGCCTATCAGTTCCTCGAGTATGGCTTTTTGGACAGATTTATCATACCATGGATAAGTTTCCTCCTGTGAAACAGGCTTCAAATTTACTCAAAAAGTAGTTGATTACCTTACTAGCCTTCATGAAGCTATCAGCTCTCAGTACTCAGAGCTGAGCAAGATGTTGCCTTTGCTTCACAGCATTTACATAACACTTTCTGGTCCTCTGTAAGCTGACCAATGTGAAGGAAGCTTCTAGGTCAGATTCATCTTGATTTCTCTGTGATTAAAGTATTTGTTATTTTCCTCTATAGAATCTTACCACCTAGTTATGGTGGGCAACCAAGAACAATGGCAACAATCTGTATTATTTGGAAGATTTCTTGGATTTCCCAGACCAACAATTATTTAGCTTGTAAACTTGTGTCTTCTGGGGAACATTAATCCCCATGTTCGCTAACTAAATTTAAACAATATATAAAGTTTGTGAAGTAGTGGGTTGCTTTATAGCTTTTCAAACATCCTCAGCTGCCAGACTGTCCTGTAACCTATGGGAACAGCTCATGAGTGTTTTGCAAATGGAGCTCCTTAAGAGGCAAGGCTCTTTGAAGATTGCCCTGGCTAGGACCTGTGGAGGAGATGCTGCAGACCCCTGCTCTGATTCTAGGGAAGGACATGAGATTCAAGCCCTTCTTGCTTTTACTTTCCTTATTCTTATGGCAATTCTTAGTTTCCTTTTTCAGTTGTGATGGAAGCTGAGTTTCCTGGGATCAAATGCCCTTTAGATGAGTCAGATAATGTTTCTAAAGAGTCTGCAATGAAATTAAACCTCTTTGCAGTTTACCACAGAAACCAGTTCCTCCAGTTTCCCTAGGTGGACTCTGCAGTCATCCAAGTAAGCAGGAGGAACTCACGAAAGTTAATGACTCTTGCTTACTTAACTGTTCTAAAAGAGAGATAACTATATTCCAAGATCTTAGTAGTTGATTTCTTAAAACACGACATTAAAAACCTACAGACCTCAGAAGAAAGAAATAAAGGGCATAAAAGGTCAGACTTCCCTCCAAAGCCAGAAAATCAACAAAG